GCCCGCTAGGGTCTGCCCGCCCGATCTGCCCGTCTGGTTATGCCACGTGTTTTCGTGCCTCGCCCACTCCTGCTGAGTTTTCTCGTGCTCCATCCCTCCCCCTCCCTCTCCTCTTCTGTCCTGTCTTCCCCTGTTTTAGGGGCTGCGCTAAATGCACGTGGCAGGGGGTGTGCTCGAAGACGAAAATGGCGGGCACCGAAGGGTTGGGATACACGTGTCGATTGGCACGCGAACGAATAGGAGCGAACAGTCTTAACATGATGGTTGTTGCTGCTGCTGTTTTGTTTATTGTTGTTGTTGGTCTTGCTGTTGCTGTTGCTGTTGTTGTTGTTGTTGTTGTTGTTGTTGTCGTTGTTATTGCTGTTGTTTTGTTGTTGTTGTCGAGTTCTCATTCTAAAGAGCAATTGTTGTTGATCACCCCTGCGCTGTAACCATTCCTGGGGCTCGCACCCTTCTGTTCACAAGGGGACATGAGGTGTCACCAAGCTAAGACCCTTGCTTCCGGCTTGCAGCAACTATGGCCCCCGCCAGATACTTCCTAACCATGCATTGCCAAATCGCGCTCTCGCGCGGGACTTTTTCACAGTTTACACCGGAATCGCGCTCTCGCGTGGGACATCCTCACAATATGTTCAGACGCCGCGCCCTCGACACTCAGGAATCACGCTCTTGCTGTGGATTTCCGCACGATTTATTTGGAAATCGCGCTATGGCTCGAGACTTACAGGTTGTGACAGATGTGCAAGTTTTTGGCAGCTGCATCCTTGTAGCTGTGACAGCTGCATCCTTGCAGCTGGGACATATGTGCAAGTTTCTGGCATTGAACTTCCAAACATCTTCAAGTGGAAACCCACTTTGACAAGGAACCGTCCTCCATCCTTGAGACACGAGTGCGTTAACCACTGAACCTGAATGTGCGCGGCGCCAAGGCGAGAGTCAGATGTTGAAAGGGGGACGTCGTTTACCATCTATAACTCAGCTGGAGATTTGTCGAACGAATGCGCGCGGCGCTGAGGCGATAACCCAAACTTTGAAAACAACACAATCCATCCATAAAGCCGGTGCGAGTTTCTGAGATGAATATGCGCGGCGCTGAAACGATAACTGCATTTTGAAAAACTGCCTCCCTTGCATCAGTCATCAGTGCGGCTGCACACTTCAAGCCTCGTGACCACAAATTGAAAGGAGGTCTCGGACGCAGGTCATGGCCCGCCCCACTGACGCGCAATTGAATGCGACACGGAGGAGCTATCAACACGGAACAAGGATGGAAGAGGTTCAGGCATCCGATGTATTGATGTTCCAATTCGGGCACCCCAGAAACCCAAGACTGTTTTCCCCAAGAAAACTTTTCAATCCGAGCCGTTGTTTGAAAGCCCTGGGGCCCGGAGAGGGCCCCCACATACAGAAAACGGCCAACAACCTTCTGTCGAAACTTTTTCAAGACTAGAGCGTGTCCGGGGAGGAGGAGGAAGAGGAGGAGGAGGAAGAGGAGGAGAGGATGGAGGACTGAAGTAAACCCAAGATGCATCAACGATGCTGCAATCAACAGTCCCGTCGTCAGTTCCCTCTTCATAAGTCCCTGTGCGCCATCCTTTCCACTGCAAGAAACGCCCGCTTGAAGGACCAGCATCCAATGGGTCTGCCATGTAAGCGACAACCCCATGTTGACAAGGAACTCACTGCCGTGCAGCCTTCCAGCGAGTAACGAGGAAAACGCGAAAGTATGCTTATCGTCCGACGAAGTGTCCAGCAAAATCCATCTTGTGAAAAAAGACCACTCCAATCGGTGTAACTGTTGCGCAAGTTTTCACGTCTGGCCATGAGCGTCGAGTAGCGACAACCTTCCATTTGTACCATCCGCGTGCGGCTGTACCACGTGTTGACATTTCTGGTCCTTGAATTTGAACAGCCTCAAACGAACGCCAAATTTTGAAAACGGAATCGCCTTTCATTCGTGTATATGTTGCATATGTTCAGATGCCTGGTCTTCAAAGTTGAATACGTCCCTTGCGAAACCACTTCGAAAAAGAGCAACCCGACATCCCTGTAACTGTTGCACACTTTTAAGACGAATGTGCGCGCCGCTAATGCGAGAGCCCCACTTTGAAGCAAACCCGCCCTCCATCCTGGGAGCCGCTGCAGCATTTGAAGACGAATGTGCGCGGCGCTATGTCGAGAGCTCCATTTTGAAAACAGCCCGCCCTCCATCCTTGCAACGGTTGCAAACTCTTATGAACCGAATGTGCGTGGCGATCACGCGGGACCTCCCTTCTGATAACGACCCCCCCATCCGTGCGACTGCTGCGCATTTCAAGCCTCAGGACCGCAATTGGTGGGGAAGACTTCGGCGACCCGCCCGGCCCGCCCTGCCGACGCGCCTGGGGGTGAGACAAGGAGGAGCTACCAGCAAAGAGACCCACTGGAGGATGAAGGGATACCTAACCATCCGATGTCCTGATGTTTCCCATACGGGGCCCTTGGAAATCGCCACCCTTCCCCCAAGGCGGGAATTCCATCCCGAATTGGTCCCAGGGCCTGGCGAGGGCCCCAGAGGCCAGATGCGGTCAAAAACCGGTATTTTTCTGCGACGCCAGCATGTCTGGGGATGATGAGGTGGGAGGGAGGAGGAGGAGCCGAGTGAATGCATTTAGAAGCTCAGGGTGTCGGAGCCACGTGCGCCAATAATGAAAAACATACATGTTATGTTATGAGGGCCAAGCCACAGCCTCCTTAGGGCGAGGTGGCAGAGAGGCGGCCCGCCTCACCTTTTCAGAACGGGACTGGGTCCACGTGGATCCCGAACCGCGCTAAGATCCTCCTCGTGGTCCAGCTGGAGACCGGGGAGGAGGTGGTGGGGAGGAGGGAAGGAGGAGGGATGGATCAGGGATGGATCAGGAAAGGGATGAATCCAAATCCGCTCAAAGTCGGTCCCCAGACCCCTCCTGAGGCCCACCTGGCGCAGCTTCTCACCCTGGATCCGTTTCTGACAGCCCCGAGGCCCGGAAGCAGCTCCCAGAGGCCGAGCAGTGGCAGAACGCCTCCCCGAACCCAGCGCCTCCGGCCTGCCTCTGCCCCTCCTGCTGGCAGGGAACCCGTGCTTGGCCACCGCAGACCCCAAGACGGCACCAAGGAGGGAGGAAGGAGGAGGATTAGTTTGGGCCTGTCCGCCTACAGGAAGGTTTTGGGCGGAAAATCAAACATACGCAAAACATGCCCCCCAAATGGGCAAACACAGTGAAGAAATCGTCCCCGGAACATTTTTTGACTATTTTTGAATCTCCCCCCTGTAGAGGGACAGGCCCGACTTGAGAGGAGGAGGCGGCGGCGACGAGGGAAGGAGGGGCAGGGACGGAACGGACCACGGGACGATTCCCCCCCCCCCCCGCGCCGGTGCAGGACGGCGGCCGGCTGGCGGGGGCGCTGGCGGCCCCGCGCGGCGAGGGCGCCCCTGGCGCTCCCCGCGGGTCTCTCTGCCGACGGCGCCGCTCGGAGGGGGCCCCCTCCGCGGGAGGGAGGCCTCGCGCACAGCCGTCGTGCTGCCGTGAGAGGAGCGCGTGGCGAGCCCACGGCGGGCTCAGGCCAGGGACGGAGCCCCCGACGAGAACGGGAAGAGCGGCCCGACGGCACGGATCGGAGGAGCTGTGGCTTCGGCTCGCGTCGGGGCTTCGGCTCTCTGCTGTGTGTGGGGCTGGCAGGGCCAGGCGAACAGCAACGACGACGACGACGACGACGACGAGGGCGGCGAGGACGAGGGGGAGGAGGACGAGGGGGAGGAGGAGAAGGAGAACAACGAGGGGGCGGAGGGCCAGCACCCCCATCAGTCCTGCTGGCCCAAGCCAAGCCAAGAGCACGGGCAGAATGGAGAAATGCATCGAAGTCACATTGAAACCATATTTGGGCAATCTCGGGGTCAACTAGGGTTCACGGGATCATCTTCCTTTTTTGCTTGACAACAAGTGGAAACAAACAGTACCAAGACGCATACACATACAAACAATGCGAAAATGGGTGGACACTCGCGCACTCGCGCTTATGGAAGTGTCGGCAACAGCTGAGCTGAAGGATACTGGATTTTCCAACAATGCGACCATGTGGCAGCCCATACCCCTTGGGTGAACCATTAGGCGAAACAAGGTGAAACAGCATGATAAGAACATGATTGGCATAGGGGGTCCCGCTTGCATGAGCGTCGCGAAGCTACGCTGAGCGAAGTCCGATTAGACATTGCGCGACCTAACTCAAGCCAGCAGGCCCTGTCATTTCACTCATGTGCACTATCTAGAGAGGCCCTGGGCAAAAAGCCAAAGCACCAAGAGGCCATGCGTCATCGTTGTGCCGACGGCAAGACCGAGTTTATTATAAACAATCAGACGCACATGACAACTCTCAACTGGTGTGACAAGACGCGCCATGGTAACAAGCCCGGCTGCAAGAATATGTCTCGGCTGCTGCCCTGCTTGGTCACTGCGCAGAGATTTGCCGGCGCACACTTCGCCGTATATGCAATCTCATCCGCAACATTTCCACGACGTCGTGCATCCATCCGACTGGGGTTAAGACCTAACATGCAGAGGCGTACCCACAAACGTGCATTCCGCCAGACGCAGACGTGCATCCAGCCGACTGGGGCTAAGGCCTAACATGCAGAGGCGTACGCACAAACGTGTATTCCGCCGACTGAGGCTACGAACCACAAGATGTGGCTGGGCTGGAAAAAACTCAAACCAGCTGGTCCTTTAATTTCACTCATGTACAATATCTAGAGAGGCTCTGGCTCGAAAGTCAAATCATCAAGAGGTCAGGCGTTGCGCCAATGGTAAGAATGAGGTCAAAGATCTGATAGGGGAATGTGACACATCCTAACTGATGTGAAAAGACACGCCAAGGTAGCAAGCCCGGCTTCAAGAATATGCCTCGCCGATATGCTGCTGCCCTGATTGGTCACTGCGCAGAGCTTTGCTGGCGCACATTTCCCTCGCCGTATATGCACTCTCATCCGCGCGCATCACCTTAGCCAAGTCCCAGGCACCACGTTGGGCGGCTGGTAGTTTTTTGCCGACCTTGAACCCATTAAGGCAGCAAATTCCTTCCTCGACTGAGCGGACATTGTTTAGGGCAGGGCATGACATGACATGCACCGGCTTATCTTCAGTGCGAGTGGTACACCGTGCTTCGCGCTGGCCTGGACCGTCCCCTCGCGGGGGTTCAGTCTGCTCGTCCTACGGGATGGCTGAATCCACGAAATGAATTGTGCGCTTCGTCTTGATTGTCGCAACCGCTGCGATCACGTCCTTGGGCACTACGTCGCCTCGGTACATCCTGCAGCACGACATGTACTTGCCGTGGCGGGGGTCGCACCTGACATACATGGCCGAGGGGTCGAACACAGACATGACTTCCGCCACAGAGAGCTGTTCGTGGTAGGCCTTCTTTGCAAAGATCGCTGGTGCGTAGCCCTAGAGCATGAAATTGATGCGCGTGTATGGCACCAAGTTCGTCCGGAACTCCGTGACGTCCACTTTGAGCGCGCCGTCAAAGCGCAGCGACGCCGTCAGCAAGGATATGACCTGGGCCAAAAGTCTGTTCCGGTTCGTGTAGGTGGAGCCGTCGATGTCGAGATTCCGCCTGAAGATATCGAACAATGCTTCATTGTCGTGCATGCGGAAAGCATACAGGAAGGTGTCGAAACTCTCCTGCCTCAGTGCGGGCCTGGGCACACGCTGGAGGCTTGTTTGATCGCACAGATGCTAAAGCCAGATTGGCCCCTTACCACAGCCCATAGTCTACTAAAATTCTTTCTTGACTGAAAATGGAAATCGTATTGGCCCACTCGTGAACAAGCCACCTGGCCAGCAGCTCACCAGCGCAGCGTCGGCCAGCTCTCTGGGGTGCCGGTCCGGCGGCGTGCCCAGGGAGCGCCGGCACTGCGCCGGCGCCTCAGCGGAGAGCGCCAGCCAGCAGCAACGTGCCGCCGTCCCACCAAAGGCCGCCACCAAGCCGCCCCAGCCCGACCGAACAGCAAGAAGACGGCATGCCCCAGCGACCCACTACCACGTGGATGCGTGGCAAAGGGAAGGTCGGCAACGGCCGCCGAAGGCGCCACGCCCCAGCGACCCACCACCGCAGAGTGGCAACGGGAAGCTCAGCAACGGCAGCCCCGTGCCATGAGGAACAGACGAGACAGAAGGCACCGTCGCCACCGGTGTCAACAATCAACGGTCATTGTCGCACATGCTAGTGATGCCCGTGTGTTCCAGCAAAGAGTACACTCACACAATGTCGTAAGGCTCCACCACCGTTGTGGCGACCGAGGCAGTTGTCGGCGAGCTTGCGAATGCGGTCCAAGCCCAGGTCGACGATCTCCGTGCCGATCGTGTAGTGGCCGCGCGCGAAGTGCATGACCGCGTCCTCCCTCCCAGAGATCAGCTGCTCGGGGTGAAAAAGCTGGCGGCACGTGCCGGTGCGGATTTCGTCGGCCACGTTGGGTTCAAGATCCACCATCGCACAACGAGGAACGTGCTTGCCAGCACCCGTCTCGGAGACGAATGTGTTGAAGGCGTCGTCGCCACCCCCGATTGCCATCGCTCGGAAGTCCAGTCTATGTGCATCTACACCTCACGAAATGGCCAAGAAATTATGGATTATAAATTCATGCTCCCGAGCCAGCTTGAGCCAAAATGGCTACGGAGGGTTCACGGGATCATCTTGGGGCCATTTCGAGGCAATCTCGAGGTCGTCTCGGCGGCGGCGTTCGTATGTCACGAGATACCCCTTCGCGGCAGCGCCATGTTATTGCGGTGTTGTTGGTGGTATCGTTGTCTGTTGTGTGTCATTTGTTGTCGCTCTTGCAGTTTTGCTAAACTCTTACCACTTAAGAATAATTATTGTTGACCTCCCATCCCCTCTGGGGCATATGGCGCTTTTCAATTAAAGTGCTCCCCCCCGGGGCTCGCACCTCTCTTTACAAGGTAAAGCGTGGGGTTACCAAACTGGGCCCCTGGCCCCGGGTTTACAATAACAGCGGCTCCCGCCTGATACTTCCTCATCTTATTTCCAAATCGCGTTCTTGCGCGGGACGTCCTCACAATTCATGCAGGAATCGCGCTCTCGTGTGGGAAGTCCTCGCACTTTATTCAAACGCCGCGCTCTCGACACTTAGGAATTACGCTCGCGCTGTGGGCTAGCCCACGATTTATTTGGTACTCACGCTATCGCTCGAGACGTCCTCGCGATTCATGCAAGACGCACGCTTCAGCAACCCGCCTGCTCGACCTGGCCGCTGGGGCCCGCCTTCCCGATCCGCCCGTTAGGGTCTAACCGCCCGATCTACCCGTCTGGTTCAGCCACGTGTTTCCAGCTCCCAAGCCCCCTCCTGCTACTCTCCCTCGTGCTCCATCCTCCTCCCTACCCCTTGCCCGTTCCTCCCATCCGTCCTCTCTTCCCTGCCTTAGGTGCTGCAAGAAATACGCGTTGCAGGTAAGAACGAGATATACCCCTAAGGGGGTACGATCGAAGACGAAGAAGGCGGGTATCGAAGGCTTGGGATATACGTGTTGAGTGGCCCGCGAGCAGATAAGAGCGAACAATCTTAGCATTAGTTTGTTGTTGTTGGTATTTTCTGCTCTTGGTGTCGTTGTTGCTGCTGTTTCGGTGTGCTGATTGTACGACTTGCGAACATTATTGGTGGCATTCGTTGCGGTCAGACCGCAGCACGCCTACATATCTATCAACCAAACGCGGCCGCGATGAATGCTTTTGCATAGACGCAAGTCGATCTTGATTTTCTGATTGTTGCTGTTGATGTCGTGGCTCTTGATGCCAGCTGTGTTGTTGTTTTTGCTGTCATTTCCTTTCATGCTCCTGTTGCTGGCGTTGCTGATGTGTTCGCTCGGTGTCTTCGCCGATGTGTGCTTTTCACGCCTGGGCTTGTTGACCACAACGCTGGCCGAACGGCTGAACAATTAGGGTTCTGGTATGTTTGTTGTTGTGGGTGTCGTCGTCGTCGTTGTTGTTGCTGATGAACTGTTATTCCTAATGAAGAATTATTGTTGATCCCCCCCCTCTGGTGCACCTTGTGCTTTTCAATTGAAATGCTCCTCGTGGGGTTCGCACGCTGTTTATACAAGGGGAAATCTTGGTCCTCAGATTGGGCCCCTGGCCCCCTGTTTACAACAACAGCAGCTCCCGCCTGATATAGCCTCACAATGTGTTTCAGAGTCGCGCCCTTGCGCGGGACATCCTCAGAATTTATAAATGAATCGCGCCCTCGCGCTATACTTCTCGCAATTTGCTGCAGCGCCGCGCCCCCGACACTCAGGAATTACGCTCTCGTTGTCGTTTTGGTGTCTTCAGGATTTGATCAGGAATCGCCCGATCGCTCGACGCTTCTTTGCGAATCATGTTGGATTGACGCGTTAACGACCCGCTCGTTCGACCCAACCGTCTGGGCCCGCCCGCCCGACCTGCCCGTGAGGGTCCGCCCTCCCGGCCCGCCTGTTGTGTTCTGCTGCTCGCACTCCTGCTCCGGACCCCCCTTCTGCAACTGTCTCTCGTGCTCCATCCTTCCACCTCTCCCTCGTCTCTTCCCTCTTCCCTTCTGCCCCCTGTTTTAGAGGCTGCGGCAACTGCACGTGGCGGACAAGGTAAATTCACCCCCCAATGGGTGCACGATCGAAGACGAAGAGTGCGGGTATCGACGGTTTGAGATATTCATGTTGAGTGACACGCGAGCCTCTAAGAACGAACAATATTAACGTGATTGTTGTTGTTGTTGCTGCTGTTGTTGTTGGTGGTGTTGTTGTTGCTGCTGTTGTTGTTGTCGTCGTCGTCGTCGTCGTCGTTGTTGTTGTTGTTGTCGTTGTCGTTGTCGTTGTCGTTGTTGTTGTTGTTGTTGTTGTTGTTGTTGTTGTTGTTGTTGTTGTTGAACTCCCATTACTAAAACAAATATTGTTGATCTCTCAACTTCGGGGCACATTGTTTTTTCAAGTGAAGCCCTTCCCAGGGCTGGCACCCTGTTTATCAGGGGAAATCTTGGGTCTCAGAATTGGGTTGCTGGCCAGTGGTTTACAGCAACAGCGGCTCCCGCCTGATACTTCCTCACGATGTATTGGCAAATCGCGCTCTCTCGCGAACTTGCTCACAACTTATGCAGAAATCGCGCTCTTGAGTGGGACCCCCTCGCAATTTACTCAGGTGTCGCGCCTCCAACCCTTAGGAATCACGCTGTCGCTCGGGCCTTTCTGATGATTTACTTGGGAATCGCGCTATCGCTTGAGACTTCCTCGCGATTCATGCTCACGCTTCGGCAACCCGCCTGCTCGACCTGGCCGCCTGGGCCCGCCTTCCCGACCCGCCCGTTATGGTCTACCCGCCCGGTCTGCCCGTCTGGCTCTGCCACGTGTTTTCTGCTCCTAGCACCCCTCCTGCTACTCTCTCTCGTGCTCCATCCTCCTCCCTCCCTCTTCCATCCGTCCTCTCTTCCCCTGTTTGAAGGGCTGCGCAAACTACACGCGGCAGTTACAAAAGATATACCCGCAAGCGGGGTACGATCGAAGACGAATCCGAAGGTTTGGGACATACGAGTTGAGGGGCCCGCTAGCAGATAAGAGCGAGCAGTTTAAAACTTGTTGTAGTTGTTTGTTTTTGCTGTTGTTGTCGTTATGATTATATATATGTAGATATATACATATATATACATGTACATACATCTAGTTTTTTTTTCGGGGGGGGGGGAGGGGGGATTCTGGTTTTATATAACGTCAGGAGGGCGAAAACCATGACCGATCTGGAGGCTTTCTGTTGTCGGACTCCTGTCCCTTAAGCGTGCATGCGTGTGACATTGAAAGGGGCTGCCGTCGTAGTAGGCACTGTGGCGGAAAGGCCCATGACTACATGTCGAAGGAAGACGTTCACGCCGTCAACAACAAGTATATTACATCATATCGACTGCACCAGGTCGTTTGTACCACGTTAGCTGCGCACCGCATAGCTTGTACCACGTAGACTGCACCACATATGTTGCACAGCATGGACTGCACCTTAAATATTGCACAACTTCGAATTCCTTGGCATCAGAGATTCGGTCAGACAAGCCCCAGAGCCGGTGAGAGCGGAAATACGGGTAGTTATCGGATAATGAGAAAACAAGGCTCATAACCTCGGGGGCGCATGCGCATATTGCACCACATAAAAAGCACGACTGGATTGCCCCTTTTAGACCGCACCACGTCGACTGTACACCATACACTGCGCACCACAGAGATTGCACCACACCTGTGACAGTACATAGATGGCCCAACATATAATACACACCACATTTTGCTTTGAATACATTCTTCGGGGCCCGCGCTGGCTAACATGTTTTCTCGCGTTGGTCAGGCGCGACTGTCCTAGTAAGAACTCGGACCCAGGGAATGGCCTGATCCCTGGCTTGTGATCACCAGCATGGATCGCGATCCCCGTCGGACAGGGCTTCTACCACACAAAGCATCACATGCTTGGAGGGCGAGAGTGGCCTGACCCCTGGATTCTGATCACTGGAATAGACAGCGATCCCTGTCGGAAGGGGCGCGCGCGTCGAGCCCCCTCCTTTTCGACAGGGGTCACGATGGTCCCGAGAACCGACCTCTTCCTCCATTTCAATTCGTGATAAGCAACTCCTCCCTGTCGCACACCGAGGCGTCGGAAGGGCGGACTGGGCATTCCGCCCGAGACCCCCTCACAGTGTATGACCCTGAAGCTTGAAACATTGGTAACAGTTTCAGCGATGGAGGGTGATTTTTTTGTTATTGCTCTCAGAGTCTCACGGATTGAGGACGTGTGGTCTTCAACATGTGGCTCTCGCCCTAGCGCCGCACACATTCCTCTAACAATTTGCAAGAGCTTCACGCATTGAAGGCGTTTTTTTTGTAAACTGTGACTCTTGCCTAAGCGTCGCGCACATTCGTTCTCAACATGTGCAAACATTTCACCGCTTCTAATTTTTAGCATGCCAGAAATCATGTTTGGGAGCGATTCAGAATTGTCAGGGCGCAACAGTTACGTTGACTCGCGGTGTCAAGTCCCAGGGGTGGCGCTCTGGCACGCGTCAGGAACGCGAAGACGTAACAGTCAGGTTAACTCGTGGCCTTGAAGTCCTGAGAATGATGTTTTGGCACGCTTCAAGATTTTCGCACGGGTGTCCCCCAACGGGGCAACTTCCTCAGTGGGAACGAACCCTTGCAGGGGCCTGTGAAGAGGGAGCTTGGAGGGAGGGTGTTTTCTAACATCGTTGATCATTCTTGAATTTACACTGGTCCTCCTCCTGCTGCTCCCCGTCCTCCTTCCCCCTCCCCCCTTCGGCTGTGCACCCTGAAACCCGGCACACATTCTTTGCTTTTGGCGTAGTCGCACAGTGCGTTGCATTGCACTGCGTTGCATTGCATTGCGCTGCGTTCCTCTTCCTCCTTCCGTCCCCCTCCTCCCCCTACTCGTTCATCCTCCACCTCTCCTCCTCGCTCGTCCTCGTGCTCCTCTTCCTCCTTCCGATCCTCCCTCCTTTTTCTCCTCCTCCATCTCCTCGGTTGTCCTCCCACGTCTCCTACCCTTCTCCTCTCCCTCCTCCTTTCTCCCTCCTCCCTGCTCCTCCTGCCTCCTGCCTCGTCTCGCTAGTCCTCCCCCTGCCTCCCGCCTCCTCCCTCCTCCTTCCTCCCTCCCTCCTCCCTCCCCCCTCCTCCTCCTCCTCCTCCTCCTCCTCGCCTT